AACTCTTAAACGCGGGGAAAGTTGGCGCAAATGTACACGTTAAACGCTGATCTTTCAAGTCCTAAATTATAGGGCACCCGGTGAGGATCGAACTCAGTCGTAATTGATCTAGCGAGAACAATTACACCACGCCGAATTGTCCAAAAAAGGCGTCAAATGTGTGACAAAAAACGAGGAAATTCAGTTTTTAAAGTGCAGACTGTTATCTTTATTTTTACTATATTTATATACAAAAACATTATAATTTACATTTTTAAATTATAAAGTTAAAAAAAGGATAGAGATCCTTCCCTACCCTCCATTAGAATGTCAGACGCTCAACTTCTCGAGAACAACTTTCTGCGGATGCTCGGTCTCACGTTGACAGCTGACCTGAGATGGAACAAATACATTGAGTCAATTGCTTCGTCCACCGCAAGGAAAGTTGCCGCGCCAGGAAATTTTTCTCCCCGGAATCGATCCTGCAAATCTACAAATCAACAATTCGCCCTTGCATGGAGTATTCCTGCCATATATGGTCTGGAGCCCCTTCTGCTTGCCTCGGGGTTCTTGATAGGCTCCAGAGGTGGATATGCAATATAATTGGCCCTGATCTGGCATCTCGTCTACAGTCACTTTCTCACAGACGCATTGTCGCCTCTCTCTGTCTTTTTACAAATACTTTCATGGCAATTGCTCCGAGGAGCTGCATTCGCTGGTTCCCAGACTTCATGAGTTCAAGCGCCCGACGAGGCTGGCATCCCGCTCTCGCCCTTTCACTGTCGAAACTCCTAAATGTAGCCGTCTCTTCTACTCCGATAGCTTCATACCTCGCATCTTTCGCCTGTGGAACTCCCTTCCCAATTACTGTTTCCCTGAGAGCTATAATCTTCAACTATTCAAATGTAATATCAATCGACATCTCCAGTTGCCTTGTTCTATCCACTATCATTCTCCTCATCCTTTCCTCTATCACTCCTACCTGATCTTGCTCCATGTCTTCTGTAACCCCTTACGTCCTAGTGGCTTCCCGCCTTGCTTGGGGTGAAACGCTTAAAAAAAAAAAAAGAAAAAGGATAATGATATTTGACATTCTTTTAGCAGTATAAAAACGACAAGGATTCATAACTTTCCCAAGGGTATTAGCACGTAAGTGAATGTAAATAACTCGACTGGAATTCGAACTTGGATCTCCAACGCTACAATCCGAGCCGCAAGCCATTAAAATCGCGATGTCTCCATCCATCTCTTCTTTCCACCAGCTGTGGGTAAATAGCTGGACAGAAAGTGCTCGATAGCTGCTGCCTTTTAGGTCATGCTTATTTCGGCAGAGGCTAGAAGGAGGTAACTCGCATGTTGTCTCGAAAAAAGAAACTGCGCCCTCCTCTATCGCCGACTTTAAGCAGCGATAAGAAATAATGAAATTTTTGTTCTAAGTACAGTGGTTTGAAATATGAGAGGTCCACGACGTCGTACCGTGGACGTCTCTAATTTCAGACCATTCGCCCATGAGTGTAACAGTATAAAAATAAACATGTAAATAAAACAAGTACTGAAGCCCTAAATTTAAAATTTTTAACTGTAATATACTCCTCAAAGCGTTCTATGCACAATGGAGTTGTACATTCTTTGTACAAAGATAGCACCATTTTCGTCCCTTTTCTCTTCTGCTTATAAACAAACAACAAAAAAAAAAAAAAACAAACAAACAAACAAAAAACCAAAACAATCGTTCATATAAAGTCCTGTATATATTTCCTTTCCCACTGTGTGACAGCATTGGCTAATAGCGTTTGTTACTCATAAGGAATATAGCATATGTAAATATAAAAGTAGACATTGAGGTCAACACTCAGCGGCGAAAGTCTGTTTCATGATTAAACGCAATCGTCAGGCCATGTGCGTTGTGTTTTGGCTCGACTGTTTATTTATGCTTTTCTATGATGCATTATAGGTAGGTCGATTATAGTATTCTAACAGTTACTGGGTGGGCAATAACGGTTATGTCTTGAGTTATTCTAGGAGCTATTGAGTGGAAATAATTGTGGATCCGAATACAGTTTTGTGACTATTTTATAGTGTTGTTTGTTAAATTTTGATCTTTGTTATTTGTTGTTGATTCTTATTATTATGTCTACTCGTATTTACGCGCACATTCGTAGTTTGTTAATTTATTTGTTATTTAATTAATGTTGTTACTTATTTATTAATTTGGATTAATATACTTATTTATTTATTTTTTATTTATTTTATTTTATTTGATTTATTTTTTGTTCGTTGTTGATTTTAGATTTTAAGTAACGTAGAAGAATTTTGTTTTCGAGTCTACATTTTGAAATGCGTTCTGAGCGTTTATTTAGTTATGATGGTCTGGGAAGGTAATTATTACTTTTCTCCCCTGCACAGAAAGTTTGCAGTTTTGGGATTTATTGTTGTAGGCTGATGCCGTTTTCCTCATTTTTCATGATATTTTTGGTGTGATTTGATTTTGTTTTTAATCTCCTAGGTGTGTTCAGAAAGTATTGTGCTTTTCCCGTATTTACTATTTGTAAAGGATGTTTTATGTTCGTAGTTTCATTGTTTCCAGGACACTTCAGTCACTTCTATGTATATTTTTTATTCATTATTTGCTGATTTTACAATGCTGTTCTAGGATAGGCTTGTTTTATTATGTTAACGTTCATTCTTCGTTATCTATTGATTTTACAGTGGCTTGATATATTATAGTGTTTTGTAAGAAATTTCAGTTTAAGGGACATTCGTTTTTTTTTAATTCTACAGTTAAACATAGCTTTGATTTGAGTGGGGGAATTGTTGGATGTTTTCTTGTGTTTTATTATCATTTCTATCATGTTCTCGGTGCAGCTGCAGCTGATTTTTACTGCGTACAGTTGAACCGAGACCATGATAGAAATAATAAAATTATAACGCACACGGCCTCTTATTTGTTTAAGCATGAAACATTTTGTGGAAAATATTGGTGTTGACCTGGAGGCCCATTTAAACTCACACGCATGCACACACAATCAATTGATACTCACACACACACACACACACACACACACACACACACACACACACACACACACATTATATATATATATATATATATATATATATATATATATATTACGAATACTATAATACTATATTTTGCATAAAGAAAGCGAATTACGGTACCATTTTAATATTTTAAACAGTTTTTTCGTAGGCATCAAATTTTAGAGAGAAATTGACAGAGAACAATAAAAAACCTAAAAAATAATTCGTAATTTTATGTACAATTTGTTAAATATAGTTTTGATATTACTTTTTATCTCTCTTCATTTTTTCTATTATATATATATATATATATATATATATATATGTGTGTGTGTGTGTGTGTGTTGTGTGTGTATGTGTTTTTGTGTGTGGATGATGTTTTTATATATATATATGTTTATGTGTGTATTTATGTTTATATATATATATATATATATATATATATATATATATATATATATATATATATATATACCGAGTGTAATAGCAAAATTGTCCAATTCGTGTAGCGTCCAAATTGTACAATTGTTAGATTTTTTTTTGAACAGTTGTACCTTAGAAATGATTAAAGGTATTTTACTAGAATTCTCCTATGTTTTTTATAAAGCTACTGGTCTCTACTTTGAATAAGAACGTATTTAACTCTAAGTTGAAATGATGATACCTATTTGTCTCTACTGTTACATCTTTTTAAAACTTATTCCCCGTTCTCTTGATGGTTCTTGAACGGACTTTGAAGATGGAAGCCATTGTATTAATGTTGGTACCATTACTGAACGCCTGGATGGTCTTTTTCCTCTCACTATTTCACATTTGGGAAGACATTGGGTCTGACAGAAAATGATTTTAACGTGTTCTCTTTCTAGCAGAATAACTCAAAGGGTTTTTCTAGTGATTCTTACGATAAATGGTGTCAAGATGGCTAAACGTCTTAGTTGAAAACCTGGAAAAAAGAAACACAATTAGTTTAGTGGACGTTTAGATATTAAATATTTTGTAGGATGGCCAATTATGTTGCAACAAGATTTGTACAATTTTGTTTCATTCATGGTTGGCTTCGTAAATCGATCAAGAGGGAATCTATACACGTCAATTGCAGGCACGTTTGTGACTGATAAGTTCAATCCGAGACAAGCATACAATTTCGCAGCAGTTGCAGCTGAAAGTCCGGCTTGGGTTCGATGGCATTGCAATGCAGTACTTCCTCTTTTACCTCTTGTCCCTGGGAGAGGCCCTGCAGGTATTTTCAAAGAAGGAGACAGCGTCAGGTGTCACGGTTCTCAGCTACGATTGACCAATATATATATATATATATATATATATATATATATATGGCCACTGGTATCCGGGCGGCTAGTCAATCCCTATTGTGGAAAGCCAATCCCTAATTCAGACTCTCACTGGGGCACATTTGTGTGTATATTATGTTTATACTTTACATATAATGGGAAGGCATTAACTTGTAGTGGTGCCCTCATCTAGCTACTGTCTTATCATTATGTGGGAGGTATTACTGAGTCGTACATATAAGTGGTATTTCGGCCCCACTCTGTATTTATACCTCGAGTTACGTCGATTCGAGTTAAGTCGTTCTCAATTATACGTCGTTTCTCAAAAAATATATGAAGAAATAAAAATCAAGTTTAAGTCGTTTTATTCGACTATTGAAATCGTAATATCACTAGAAAAGTGTTAAAAGCACATAAAACAATGTTACTGGACAATAAACGTGTATAAAATCATATTGAAATACGTATATTTACATTAAATGTTAATATAATCATCATAAATCCTACATAACGATATATGAAAACATCTGTGACTCTGTGTTGTGTTATTTAGCGGTCTTTAAGAGCTCAATATTGGCGTTTTCCACGATAGGTGGATTGATAAGCTGAATCATCAGCATCCTGCAGTTAGTCAAGAAATTATTCAAGCGAAAGCGTTGTCTTTATTTGAGGACCAGAATAAAAAAATACCGAGGTGAGAAAGATGTAGAGTTTAAAGCGAGTCAGGGCTGGTTTATGAGATTTAAAGAACGAAGAAGTTATAACTGTTAAGAAGCAAGGTGAAAGTGCATCAGCTGACGAACAAGCAGCAGCCGATTTCCCCACAGCATTTTCTAAGATCATCGAAGCAAAAAGTTTTCTTCCTGAACAGATTTTTAACGTTGACAAAACTGGATTATATTGGTAAAAATTTGCCAGACTGTTCTTTCATTGCTAATGCTAAGCGTAAGTTTATATCACAGATAAATTATTTTATTCAGAATACTATCTGCATGTCATAACTATAGTAATATGCAATGGCGAGTGCTTATTTGGGGTTTATAGTGTTATTATTTTGTTAGTCATTTTTTATTTATGTTGTAACCTCTGGAATCAATTAATGACCTAGGGTGAGCTATACCTGTATTTTAGGAATATTATTATTATTATTATTATTATTATTATTATTATTATAAATAAATAAAAAATAAAATATAATATATTAATATTAATAATGAAAATTATAGACAAAATAAAAAACAATAACATAAAAACGTTGTATAAAAAATTAAATGAAAATAACAAAATACTCTCAGCATGCAACAAAACTGTTCTTGCCGGAAATACGGATAGATGCTTCCCCCCCCACACACAAAAAGTTAAATTCAATCTCTTCACCACAAACCTTGGTACGAGCAACACGTGTCCAACCTCTCTCTTTGATAAAGCTTGTAATACTATGGAGTAAATCTTCCGATTTTATAACATATAGCATAAAATAATTGTGGCCTTTAAAATGCACGCACAATACACGCAAAACTATAAAAAAAAACCATATGAAATTAGCCTACAATTTACCATGTTTTCTTCTTATTTGCGTACGCTTTCTTTCCTATAAAATATGCTTTTATCTCCGTGAAAACAAGGCTAATTTCTGCTGCAATGATGTGTGTGAAAAACCCCACAACATTACGGTGACCACCGATATAGATAAAAACAAATATTCACCCACAATATCTTTCCTGGTTAAACGTCATTTCTTTCCGAACGCCTCTATATTTAAAAAAAATTAACTTGCATTTGTCTTTATATATTCTCTGGTTAAACGTCGTACACTAATATTTTGTAAATTTTCTGCAGTACAGCAAATGGTGACATGTATGGGTCATCTAGTGAGGACTGAACTGCCTTTTAATAAAAATGTTATCTACAAACTTGTAAATTTAAATAAATTCTTAGATTAGTTTAGTTTTGGAAGAAAGCTAAAGTCGTTGTGTCTAGTAAGCAACAAGCTGATAATAGAGAAGAGAATAGAGAATTCTTCTGCGGGACGTGTTTGTTAACCATCAAGCTACAGTAGGAACCCATCTAAATATAAGTTCACTTTATAATTTCTTGAAGCAGCCATCTTTATTTCCGTCCCTTTTTAGGTTTCATATCAAGGAAAACGGATAAAGGAGAAAAAAAAGCCAAACATTTTACGCACAGGATGTACCAAAATGAATCTATCGAATGTAAACTCTTTTTATCTGCTCGTAGCGAAATTCATTTTGAGACTTTCCGATTATCCGCATTAACTTCAATCTAAGCTTTAGCAATAACCTCAGTTCATACTTATCATTGCTGACGCACGACCCACGGGCAACAGGAACCTTATCGTGGTATTTTATTGGTGCGTTCACATCGCGTTAACGATAATCTCGTTTGTGCGAGACCTCTCCTGGTTGAGTCGCTTTGGGCTGGATGCAGACGAAGTCAGAGGTTGTAAGTTTTGAAGAAAATTAATCACAAAGGGTTATACGAGTTGAAAGACGAAAGTGTATATTTATTTTTTTAAACAATTTAATGGTAAAAAGAACAAAAATCCTTCTTTACTAAAATATATATATATATATATATATATATATATATATATATATATATATATATATATAATTTAATTGTAAATAAAAATTATACACGCAAAAAGAACAATTGAATAAAGACAAAAGTGCTTTTTTAATGTGATATGTTTTTTCCTGATGAATTTTTTTAAAGTCCGCCGGATGAACAAACTCGTTGTTTTAAGAATTTTTTCCTTTCGTGTTTAAACTGTTTTTATTCTGACAACAAAAATGGGTTTTTTAACCAAGAAACATCTTTTTTAACCTTGTCATTTTTTTTTCTATGAATCTCTTTCATGAGGAGAAACATTAATTTTTGCTAAACTGTTGAAAATTGTAATATATATATATATATATATATATATATATATATATATATATATATATATATATATATATATATACCATTTTATTGATTTAAGTTTGATACCTTGGGTTTCACGACCTTGTCGATCTTCAAAAGTTTGTCTGACGATTTTTAAAGCGTGAAATAGGGTCACAAAATCAATTACTTAGCCCTATCACTGATATTGAGCGCTTTCAATAAGTACCAATCATATATAATATATAAATAATACATATAAAAGTACATATAATATATATATATATATATATATATATATATATATATATATATATATATATATATTTGTTTTGGTAGGATCCACCTAATTTGCATAGTGGAGTACCGACCATATAAATATGGTTGGTACCGGGAAGAGAGGATGGAATCAAGAGATTCAACCCGAGACTCTGCCCGATTGCGACTCAGTCAACACATTCTCCAGGAACGGTCTTACCAGGAATATACAAAAGACTATATGTAAATATTGTGTACACTTTCTTGTTGCAATACATTTTGTTCTAAGTACATTTTGTGTTGCATTATTATTCCATGCATTAGTCAAGTTTCAACATATATATATATATATATATGATAGACTCTCCCGTCGTTTTCGACGTATGAGCATCTTTCAGTTGAATTTTTCTTTTATGTTTCGTATGAGGCAACAATCCTGCCCGGGATTTGCAAACAAATCCACACGAAGAACATACTGACGGATTAACCGTCATAGGGGTTGATGTATTAGCCCGGGATTTAATGGTAATTATTAATTCTCTCAGATGGTTGAGATAATTCTTTTTAAAGTTAATTATACCTCGGTAACAGATGTTACTCCAGTTTGCTCGGTTTGCAACAGCCAGTTCGAACTCCTCTATAGGGGTGTTTGCAGCAATTAAATTGAATTTAAGTTTGTCCTTGAAGCGTAACCAAGGACAGCCTACATTACGCTTAGCATGAAAAAGTTGGCTATAGATGAGGATTTTCGGCATCCGATCATCACTCATTCTAATGACATGACCAGCCCATCTGAACTGTGATTGCATCAGAAAGGATTCCATACCACCGACACCACATTTGAGGAAAAGATCAGAGTTAGAGATTTTGGCCTGCCGTTTATAACCGCATATTGAACGAAGACAGCGTTTATAAAAAGCATCAAGTTGATTGATATGCATCCTGTATGACTGCTCGATAGACACTGATTTTCGTTTTCAGTGAAATCCCATAAACATCCCATAAGCGATGCTTAAGGTTCCTAAAGGAATAGGTTGCCTTTGATATTCGATTAACTATTTCGTCATCCAAAGAGGCACTTGAATTAACTTTTCTTCCTAAGTACGAGAATGATTTCACATACTTCAGGTTGTTGCTGCCACCAATAATGTGAACGATTGGAAAAGCATTGGCAGGTGGTTTTTTTTACACCCTTCACCTGCTTAGGGGTAGGCCTTCAGTTTTCTTTATGCTTATAGTTAAGCGGTTTTGCAAGCGGTGGAAAAAAACGATTGACGAGAGTTTGAGCTTCTTCGATTGAGGTGACCACGATTGGCAGCGTCATCAGCAAATAAAATATCACGAATAATGCCTGCTCGAGTTAGCGATTTTGATTTAAAACGTTGATGGTTACAGATCCCGTCACTTGTGAGGAATTCAAATTTCACACCCATATCAAGATCCCTAAAAGCATGATGTAGCATGACCGAAAAGAAGATTTGACATGACAATTTTGTTCATATTGTAATGTATCTTTGAAGATTTTCAGAAAACTTTGGTACCCACTGAATATAAAACCCGGCATGACAGAGTGGGCCAATATCTGCACTGGAAAATTTGCAACTTCTACGGGAAGGAAACTGAAAGAAACTGGTATGAACACCACCCAGAACTGGTTACGGAGATAAGACCTGTTACAATTCTATGGGACTACTATACAAACACATTTGACAGAACAATCAAAGCCAACTGCCCAGACATTGTTATTAAAGATGACAAAAAAAAAGTGTCTCCTTAAAAATGGCAGTCCCTGCAGACTGCAATGTATCTTTGAAGATATTCAAAAAGCTGTCAAAATACAAGACCTTGAAATCGAAATCTGAAAAATGTGGCAAACGCGAACATCAACAATCCCTGTTGTAGTTGGAGCCCTAGGATTGGTTGGAAAAGATTCCAGTAGACTAATTGAAGGGATTCCTGGAAGTCCATGCCTCAAAGAAATACAAAAAAATTTCTCAGAATTACAGCCCATAATTTTTTACGAAGGGCTTTATCGATGTAATTTTTTTTTGTCAGTGGAAAGTGTCATGGTGCCATTTCTAATCTTAAGTTCCTGGGTGGGACCCGGAAGGAAATGTGTATACAACAGAAACCCAAGGAAATAATAATAATAATAATAATAATAATAATGACAAATGGCAGGCCCTGCTGACTGCAATGTATCTTTGAAGATATTCAAAAAGCTGTCAAAATTCAAGGACCTTGAAATAGAAATCTCGAAAATGTGGCATATGGGAGCATCAACAATCCCTGTTTTAGTTGGAGCCCTAGGACTGGTTGGAAAAGATTGCAGTAGACTAATTGAAGGGATTCCTGAAAGTCCATGCCTCAAGGAGATACAAAAAATTGTTCTGACAAGTACAGCCCACACATTACGAAGGGCTTTATCTATGTAATTTTTTTTTTTTACCAGTGGAAAGTGTCATGATGCCATTTCTAACCTTAGGTCCCTGGGCGGGACCCGGAAAGAAATGTGTAAACGCCAGAAATCAAAGAAAATAAAAATAATAATAATAATAGCTGATACCGAAAGTTTATTCTTGTTGCACAGGACCAATGTGTTCTAACTAGAAATTATCAACTACACATACTGAAAATTTTGTTCATTCTCTGATAAATATCCACAAACTTTTGACTATCTTGTATAAGGGTGCACAGTGTTAGTACCGTCTGAATATAAATGATAGAGTAGGTCAATATCTACAATGGGAAATATGCATTTGCATAAAAAAACTGCAAGAATTTTTGGAATAAAACAAACCCAGTTCCTGCTACAGTTGAACATTTTGAGAGATAGATTTAGATAGATAGATAATAGATAGATAGATATATAGAGAGAGAATATTGTCTTTTAGAGGGGGGCTGTAAAAAATTTGATTGGACTTTTACAATACACGAAGACAGAAGAATCAAAGCTAATCGCCCAAAGATCTTGATCAAAACCACAAAAGCCGAATGTGCTTTCTTTTCAACATGGCAGTCTCTGTAGATTGTAATGTATCTTTGAAGATCTTCAAAAAACAATCAAAATGCAACTATCTTGAAAAAAATGTGGCATATGAGGATATCATTAATTCCACTTGTAGTTGGAGCACTCGGATTGATTGGAAAATGTTATCATAAGCTCATTGAGAGGATTCCTGTTAGCCCATGCCTTAACAAAATACAAAATAATTATATTCACTACTATAACACGCCCATTATGAAGAGCTTTATCTATGTAAAATATAGGTGAGCTTATTTTTTTTTTCTTTTTTCCTTGACCCATTTCTGACTTTGTAACAAGGTAGCGACATATGTGCACTGGAATATATGCAAGAAGCACAAAATCGAAACCATTGAGAGATGGTATGAACTCCAACCAGACGCAGCTACCCAAAATAACGATGTAACTATCCCCTGGGACATGCCAATTCAAACTGACAGGGAAATAAAAGCCAATAGACCTGATATTATCAGAAAAAAGATCTATCTATCTATCTATCTATCTATCTATCTATCTATCTATCTATCTATCTATCTATCTGTTTTCATTCCAGGAAATTTTTTTTCACTTCATTATTTTTTTCTTTTTTTTTTTATTTGTACGGTTTCTTTCTTTTCTTCCTAACCTTAATAAATCCTTTCGTGAGAAATATTTCTTTTCTTTAAAAAGAATTTTCTTTCTTTCTTTTTTTCTTTCAATTTTCTTTTTTTTTCATTTCTTTAGGCGAACCTTAACGAATACTATTTTTATTTTTTTTCTCGCATCCTTTTTTTTCCCCATTCAACTCCAGACGTTTTACAATTGCTGTTATATTTCTGTCTCTTTGCATTTAGCGTTCCATTCCGCATTTACTGCCATTTTAATTACCATCTCAACCCATCAAAAGAAAACGTTTTTCTTTTGTGAGCATTGCTTACGGCCTTGATTGAAAAGCAATGCATTCGGATGAAGTACGAAGAATTATTAATTGCACCTGTAGACATGACGCCGAAGTATATTTTTATCGCAGATTGCAATGCTTTTTGGTTTTACAAGAATGACTCACAAATTGATTTCTTACGTTTAAGCGAATAGACATTCAGATATAAAAGAATTGACAATAAGATAAACAGTTAGAATCGTATGATGAATGAATGGACTCATCCTGAAATAAATGAATGAATTGATCCTGAAATTAATGATCGTAAAGATTAATCGTAAAATAAACGATTCGATGGAAGTAAAATAAATGAATGAATTGATCGTAAAACAAATGATCGTAAGAGAAATGAATGAATTGATCATAAGTGGTCTTAAGATAATTCAATAAACTGATCCCAACTTCAATGAAAGTAATATAAATGAATGAATTGATTGTAGTATAACTGAAGGATTTGATCGTTAAATACATGATTGCAAGATGAGTGAATTGACCCCAAGATTTTTGAATGAATTGACTGTTAGATAAATAAATGAAATGATCGTAAGATTAATGATTTTAAGCTAATTGACTGAACTGTACACCTCAATTGCAGGCACGTTTTTTGACTGATAAGTTCAATCCGAGACAAACTATAAGTTCGCAGCAGTTGCTGCTGAAGGTCCGGCCTGGGTTCGACGGCATTGCAATGCAGTACTTCCTCCTCTTCCTCTTGTCTCTGGGAGAGGCTCTGCAGGTATTTTCAAAGAACGAGACAACGTCAGGTGTCACGGTTCTCAGGTACGATTGACCAATTTCGATCTTTGCTAGAGGCAACCAGACGTCTAGCCACACTGATAAAGTGTAATACAGCGAAACAGTCTGTCTGTGGATGACAGTACATATGCTTCTGAAAAAATTATTTCGGTTGAGCTCTCTGGGGAGGAAGTGTGGGTTTGTAAACATCCTGAAATAAATGAATGGATTGATCCTGAAATTAATGATCGTAAAGATTAATCGTAAAATAAACGATTCGATGGAAGTAAAATAAATGAATGAATTGATCGTAAAACGAATGATCGTAAGAGAAATGAATGAATTGATCATAAGATAAGTGGTCTTAAGATAATTCAATAAACTAATCCCAAGTTCAATGAAAGTAATATAAATGAATGACTTGATCGTACTAATGATTTTCCAAGCGTAGCTTAGATGTGACACAAGGCTGAAAGTATGAGGCACCCAGTGAGAATCGAACTCACTACTCAGTCGTAATTGTTCTACCGAGACAATCTTGCTAACCATTACACCGCCTCGAGGTGCCCGTGATTTTCCAAGTGTAGCTCAGATGAGACACAAGGCCGAAAGTAGGGGACACCCAGTGAGGATCGAACTCAATACTCAGTGGTAATTGTTTTAGCGAGATGAATTGATCGTAGTATAACTGAAGGATTTGACCGTTAAATACATGATTGAAAGATGAGTAAATTGATCCTAAGTTTTTTGAATGAATTGACTGTTAGATAAATGAATTCATAGTAATATTAATGATTGTAAGCTAATTGACTGAACTGATAGTAACATCAGTGATCGTAAGATGAATGAATTGATCGTACGTAAATGATGAATGATAGTAAGATACAAGAATTGGTCGTAAGATAAATCGTAAGGTAAATTAAATGATCGTTAAAATATATTCGTTAATTGATCTTAAGATAAATAGATAAATAAAGGAGTTGACATTAAGATGAATGATTTTAAGATGGGGGAATTGCTCGCAGGATAAGTCGTAAGATAGATTAATTGATAATAAAGTAAATGAATGGATTGATAATAAGACTATACGTGAATGAGGAATGAATGAATTTAAATGAATGAATGAATGAATTTGTGTAGAATGAAAATCGACCGTCGTCAAACTAATTATTGAACATGGACAGCTAAGAACGAATTTGAAAAAAAATCGTATGACGCGTTTCGTCCGTTAAGACTTCATCAGACTAAAGTGACGTACAGATTGATGTAACTGCACATGCGCACGAAGGAGCCGGAACAATGAATTTTTTAGATTATTGCTTTTTTAATGTGTTTGTATATATAGCCTAGCTAATTTAATTTAGTTTCTTTTTGTTTATATTTTTATCACTTTTGTTATTAACTTATGATAATATATCTACTAAGAAAGGTGAAATATTGTAAGAACGAAAGTAAATTTATAGTGGATGATGTAGCAATCTTTCTCTACATTTTTGTCTTAATAAATTGCTTTTTCTTTTGATTAACAGATGGCGACACCTATTAGAGAGATGAAATTTAAATTTTTATTATTGCATTATTCCAAAAATTTAACACATCAGCAGATAGCTATTAATGTCAACAACTTAACATAAATAGTTATTAATTAAAAAAATTAGTAATTAATGTATAATATTATCCATAATATATAATATTATTAATTTTGTTGATAATATCGATATGAACATCGGGCACATCAGACCATATATGGCAACAGTATTCAATTTAAGGATGAATGGTAGATTTTATGATCTAAAGGATGGATTCAGACGAGAAAAACACTCTGGCGCGACACAGAGAACCAATTGAAATGAGTTCTGAAAAAGGACGAGGATGATGGAGTAAATTTCTCATTCATATTTTAGATTATTGTTATTTTGTTTTGTATTAATTAAGTCTTTTATTAGTTTTAGAAGTAGTTGTAAATATTTTACGTTAAGCTTAGACAATATTATATTGACCAGCACATAGTAAATAAAATTTTCATAAGTAATTATACTTTTAATAAATTACTCTTATGGTGCGTGACTTTTGTTTCGCCCTGTATTTTCTATTTACAAATCGCGACATCTATCAGAGAGATGAAATTTAAATTTTTATTATTGCATTATTCCAAAATTTTAACACATCAGCAGATAGCTATTAATGTCAACAACTGAGCACAAATAGTTATTAATTAACAAAAAATAATCATTAATGTATAATATTATCCATAACTACATGTACAGGAATGTCGTTTTTTTGATAAAAGTTTAAAAAATAACCATAAATACGTAAAAAATGCATATATTGTTGAAAATTTCTATTTGTGCTGTTATAATGCTTATTACCTAAACCATCATAATACTGAATAATATTTTTTTAAACATTAAAGTATATTTAATCACATCTCCCCAATAGCTGTCGCAATCTGTAAAGAAGAATTTTTTGAATCAAAATTATGATCAGATCGACTAAGGCATTAGGTGTCGTTTTGAAAAAAAAACATCCATTTTATGTGTTCGTATAATCTCTTATTCAAATACTTTGCGGTTTCTTTGACGTATTCCTTGTACAGGCGCTGGAGTAAATTCCTCATTCATATTTTACATTATTGTTATTTTGTTTTGTATTAATTAAGTCTTTTATTAGTTTTAGAAGTAGTTGTAAATTTTTTTACGTTAAGCTTAGACAATATTATTTTTCGATTGTCGTTGTGAAAAATTTGGTGGGAGTAAAAATATTTTTTGATTTGTTGGGTTTTTCAAAATGGTCCATTCCTCGATTTTGACATTTATATCTCATTTTCTCCCAGATATATTTTTTCTTCTTCCATGACACTGAAGACAACCTTAAGCGGTGAGAATCTGTTTCATGCCTCAACCCAATCTTTAGGCCATGAATATTGTGTTCAAGCATGAAACAGACTGTCGCCGCTTGGTGTTGATCTTTGTGTCCACTTTTATATTGACATACGCTCTTTCTCTGATACGGAGCGCTTTTACCCATCTATATAGCATACCGTGAACCGCTATCTTATCATATTTGAAAAACTAGAAATCGACAGAAAAGATAACGTTTGAAAAATATTAAAGGAACATGAAGACAAAAGGATTTTGCGCCTCAAAACACTTTCTCCAGACGGACATAACCACAAATTTAACAACACAGATACAATTAATATATAATCCCATGAATCAAGCCCTACCCACATTCCTCACCCACATAAGACAGACATGCTTCCAGAGGTGTTGAGGTCTTACACGTATACGCACACACTCCACCCCAAGATAAAATATAATATACACTTAACACACACCTGCCCCCCTCTCAGCAACCAATAAATCTCTCAAAATGACCAAGGAGGGATTTCTGAGATTCAGAAATCTGCCAGCCTCTATTTTAAAAACAACTTGAAAGAGACTGTTTGACCAACACAAGGACTGAGCAAAATTAATAATAAAAAACATGAAAATTTTTTTCTTTCAAAACCATTCTTTCTTTCTTTTTCTTTCTTTCTTTCTTTCTTTCTTTCTTTCTTTCTTTCTTTCTTTCAAAACCGTTCTTTCTTTCTTTCTTTCTTTCTTTCAAAACCGTTCTTTCTTTCTTTCTTTCTTTCTTTCTTTCTTTCTTTCTTTCTTTCTTTCTTTCTTTCAAAATCATTAATTCACTTTCTTCAGAAACAGTCATTCACTCCTATAGTTCACTGCTACTAACAAGCAGGGACTTTTCTCTTGATTATGGGCATGCTGGCCGAAACTAGTCAAAGAACATAATTGAAATACTAAAACAAAATTATTATATAAAAACATAGTTTGTGAAAACCTTTAATTATTTTAATATTTTTTATTTTCAAAAATATTTAATTATATATATATTATATAGTTTATATATATATATTATAAAATAACGTAAAGGTCAAATTCATTTGGTTTATTTTTTGTCAGAAATAGAAATTTTTCTGGGTGTTTAAAAAAAAAAAAAAAAAATTAAGTAGAAAATTTAGAATTTATCTATTACAATGTTTCGACAATTGAAGTTAGTTAAATTTAAAAGTTAGGTTTATTAAAATTAAATATATTAATGATGACATTATTTGGGTTTATATATATATATTTAAAAAATAAATATATAAAATATATATATATATAAAATATCAATATAAATAGTACAAAATTTTATTTAAAGTTTAAAATTATATTAAGTTTTGTAAAGAGGTTTAGTAACCAAAATATAGAAATTAGAAGTTACACATTCAAAATAAAAATGAAAACCTGAAATGTATGAAGACAAAATAGTAGCAATATTATATATATATATATATCATAATCTATCCAAATTATTTACCTATATAATATAGTAGAATATTATAAATATATATATATATTATTTATATATATATATATATATATATATATATATATATATATATATATATATATAATACGGGATAAATTTCAATAATCAACATTTACTTTTGTTTCCTCTTATTCCAGGTGGTTAATTAATTGAACCTTTTTAAAACCTTTATTCTACAATCTACATTCAAAATCATCATTTGATAAGACACCAGAAAAATTGAAACCAAATGGCTATTTTTTTAGTGATTTTATAACATATTTATGTTATAATTATTAAATAATTATATATATATATATATATATATATATATATATATATATATATATATATATATATATATCCATTAAGATATAACTTTGATATATACAGAAAAGGTCAATAGGAAAAAAGTCAAAAGGAAACCTTATCTTAGGCGTCGTTTGTGGTCCTCTGGCGGTCTTTAGTCTGTCAAAGGACGAAAAATGTCGGCTAAGGTAAGTTTTCCTTTTGTATTTATTCTATTTTGCCTTTTGAAGCATAAATGAATTTTTTTATTCTGACAACAAAATATTGTGTTTCTTCCCAAGAAACATCTTTTTCAACCTCGTCATTATTCTTTTCTCGCTTCTCTTTCCTGAGGTGAAGCATTAATTCGTTTGCGTCCACCGTTCGTGTATGATTCCTGATAAAGGGCAGGTTTCCAGCACTGATATTCGAATTATGAAGAACTTTTTGCATACAGACCCCAAGGATCATTCTTGACGCCTCGGAGTCTGCATAATCTTTTTTTTTTCTTTACTCGTGTTGCGGAACATCTTGATAAAAATGTCTCTATTCAGAATTTTTGTTTTCTATTTGGTTGTTCTTTCATTTCCTTCTTTTTCTTCTTCTTTTTCTTCTTTCTCTTCTTTTTTTCTACTTTCTCTTCATTTCCTCTTTTCGTTTCTTCATCCTCTTTTCCTTCTTTTTCTTCTCCTCTTATTTTCCTTTTCTTCCCCTCCTCTTTTTCTTCCATCTTCTTATTATTATTCCTCCTCTCTTCTTTCCATTTCATTTTCTTCCTTTTTTCTCCTTTCTTCTTCTCCAACCTCCTCTTCTTTTCCTTTTCTTCGTTCCCCTCCTCTCCTTTTCTCTTCTTATTCTTATTCCTCCTCCCCTTCTTCCCCTTCCTTTTCTTCCTTTTTCTCTTTTCTTCTTTGTTTTCTTCTTCTTCTTCTTCTTCTTCTTCTTCTTCTTCTTCTTCTTCTTCTTCTATACCTCCCTTCTTTTCATTTTCTTATTTTTCAATACACTTCTTTTTTCTCTTCTTATTCTTATTCCGCCTCCCCTTCTTTCCCTTTTTTCTTCCTTTTTCTCTTTTGAATTAAAAATTCTTTGTTTTCTTCTTTTTCTTCTTCTCCAACCTCCCCTTTTCATTTTCTTCGTTCCCTTCCTCTTCTCCTTTTCTCTTCGTATTCCTCCCCCTCTTTTTTCCCTTGCTTTTCTTTCTTTTTCTCTTTTCTTTTTTGTTTTCTTCTTTTTCTTCTTCTCCAACCTCCTCTTCTTTTCTTTTTCTTCATTCCCCTCCCCTTCTCTTTTTCTCTTCTTTTTATTCTTTCTTCTCCTTTTCTTTTTTTCTCTCCTTTTTCTTTCAACCTCTTCTTTTCTTTTCTTCCTTCCCCTCCCCTTCTTCTTTTTTCTTCCTTCTTCTTCTCTTCTTCTTTCTTTTCTTCTTTCTCCCCTTCTTCCTTTTCTTCTTCTCCACCCTCCTCTTCTTTTCTTTTTCTTTCCTCCTTCTCCTTTCTTCTTCTTCTTCTTAGTAGTCGCGGTAAATCATCTCATGCATGCCGCTGAAGTCTCTTTTTGTATTTACCGAAGCAATACGATGACAAGGTACGTTCCGAGATACACAATATGCCCAGATCGTGAACACTTCGCTTCCAGCTATGCTATTAAATACAATCAAACTAAGAGAAGCTGTTTGTGGAAAGAGAGATCAAGATGTTTACTTCAGTGGATCCTCCTGCGGTCTGACAACTCCAACCTAGACCCCCGAGAAAATTAAAATAATGGTTTCAATCCTATGGTTAGGAATTTGCTTACATCCATTTGATTGCCAAACTTCAGATTATCATCTCTTTGTTCCCCTTTCAAATTTATCCAGGAAGCCGTTCCGCAAACATGACGCTGTTGATATAAAGGTGCAAGGAGTGCTGCACTTGCTTGATGCAGATTTTTCTAACTATGGTCGTTTTTTGCTCGCGTACCAATATGTGGAACGCCTAAATCCCGATGACACAGCATGTAAATATAACCCAATAACTGTTGACATATGATTTATTTGTCATAATCAAAATGAGGGTTTAGTAAATATTGGCAGTTTACATGTTAGACGTTTCTAATACACGTAACGTTAATACATCGATAAAAGAAGAGTCTGCAATATTATATGTCCTCACCTGCCAGCACGGGATCAGTCATTAAAATCCGACAATTATTTGACTTTTGCAAGAATTTAAAAAACAATGTGTTTTTAACGACAAAAAAGACGCTACAAATACTTATACTAATCTTTGGCTCGTCCGCTGCAGCAAGGAAAAAAAAGATTTTTAACCAAAATATTGAAAGTGCTAGAATGGTTTAAAGCATTTTATAAAATAATAAAAATTATTTATATATTATATATATATATATATATATATATATATATATATATATATATATTTTCTTAATACATTAGGGTGTCTTCTCTAGGTGTGGAAACTGCATTGTTTATTTGTTCCCTGATTAGGTGTTGTTTATAGCCACGTGTTGTAAAATGATGCTCCAGATTTTCAATGTGTTTATTTAATTCTTATTTGCTTATTTAATAACTTATGTGTTTAATTAATTCTTCATTGTTGGAACATATCCTTCTGAGTCTAAGTGCTTGTGAATAGGGAATGTTCTCTTTGAGGTGTTTAGGGTGGGAAGACTTAAAGTGTAGATAGTTGTGGGTGTCGGTGATTTTAGTGTGTAGTGTCGTTTGTAGTTTCCTGTTTTCGTCTATGTAAATGCGGGTGTCTAAAAATGTTACCGATGTTGTGGATTTTTTATAGTCAAACTTAATTGAGTCGTGCACTGTGTTTAGGGTCATAAGGAATTGGATAAGTTTGTCGTCACTGTCCGTGTATACAAAGGATATAACATCGATATATCTTGCATAGAATACACAGTCGTTACCGATGAGGGGATATATATGGGTCTCCTCAAATTTTCCCATGAATATTTTAGCATATGATGGAGTTGCAATGGTGCCGATGGCCAATTTGGACGATTAACGGCATGGAACAATTGTCCATCCCACAAAATGTTTAATATCTAAAAAACAATAAACTAATTGACTGTCATTTTTTCCTAGTTTTCAGATAAAACGTTTAGCTATCTTGATATTATTTATTGTAAGAATCACTGGCAAACACTTTGAGTTGTTCAGCTAGAATGTTTCGTTTGGTTTTGACTTGCTTTTTGTTTTACGGCATATCAAACTCAATGGGTGATTTAATGCCGACAATTTTTTTTTTTTTATGGTAATATTTTTGTTTTGTCAAAAATCTATTTCTGCTAATATTTTTTCCTCAAAAATGTATAGCTGGTAATATCATTTTTTCAGAAACGTATAGCTGGTAATATTTTTTCAGAAACGTACAGCTGGCAATATTTCTTTTTCTTCAAAAATTTATTTCTGGTAATAATATTTTACAAAGTATTTCTGGTATTAAAACCCATTTTTACACTTTTATAATGCTTTTTACTTCAGTTTCGGGGTTAACTTTTTGCCCATAGCTGAGACCCTAACAGGTGCTACCACCCCGGGTCAGAGTGGACCTGGGAACACCAGCAATTAAGAGGAGGTTCCACGCTCCTCAAAGACGCCTGATCAGAAGCCTTGCTGTTGGACGTAGTTTATCGTCTTACCATGGACGCGGATGTAGTTTATCGTCATACCCAGGACGCGGATGTAGTTTTTCGTCATACCCTTGACGCGGTTGGAGTTTATCGTCATACCCAGGACGTGGATCTAGTTTATCGTTTTCATACCCAGGACGCGGATGTAGTTTATCGTCATTAATAGGACGCGTTCAGCTAGAAAGAGAACAGGTTAAAAACATTTAAAAATTCTTTTTTATCATCAATGTTTCCCAACTGAGAAATGGTGAGAGGAAAAAGATCATTCAGGCCTTCAGTAATTGGAACAACATTCATACTCTGGCTTCCATCTTCAAAGTCCGTCCAAGAAGCATCAAATGAATCATTTTAAAAAAGAGGGAAGTGTAGAGAGGAAACCTGGATCAAGAGGTTACAACAGCAAGAACGATAATCATTTCAACTTAGATCTAAATACATTCTTATTGTTCAAATGGAGTCTAATATTCTTATTAAAGTTGACATAGAAGATTGTTATGCGACGATAACGATTGTAGAACAGCCGACGCAGGTCGCAAATTCGTGATGTGGTTCCATGACGTAATACCACGTGAGAGAACGAAATATTAATAACAAAATATTAGGAACAGCTTAATAAAAATTATCTAAATGTTGGGTAAGTTTTTTGTGTTTATTTGTTCCCGAAATTAAATCAACTATACGAAATTTAGAACGGTTCATGATCAAACATAATAGACGTTCGTATTCTGTTATCATTTTGCTGTGTAAGTTCTCATCCAATTCAATTCTTATTTTAATCTGGTATACCCACTCTGGACTTTCAAAACTAGAACTGAGGCTTTAAATGAATGAGATGAACATAACCCCAACGATGGTATTGGAAATCAGGGTTAAATTAGACTCTCAACACTTAGTGGTGCGGACGGGATACCGGCCATTGTCTTGAAGAAATGTTAATCCTGAATTCTTATTCCTGTCCTCTCGAATGCATTTGATAACTATTTTGCATTCAATTATGACTCTTGCTTTCCAGCCTGTTGGAAGAAATCATCTGTTTTGCCTGTCTTTAAGATATCTGGCGACCCTTCTGACCCGTCTACCCACCGTCTTATCAGTCTCCTATCACTCTTCGGTAAAGTCTTCTATTTTATTTAATCAACGCCGAAGTGGTTAATAAACCTTATTCACATAATCTACATGTAAAAGCAATATGGTTTCCGCTTTGCCCGATCTACCGCATTGTGTTCACGGCCATAACTGAATTTGTATACCAAGTACTAAACAATGAAGCTCGAGTCGTAGGTCTAGATATCTCTAAAGAGTTTGGTAGGGTTTGGTATGTTGGCCTTCTTCGTAAGTTTCAAGAATACGGTATTACAGGACGATTATTTGACTAAATACAATCATTCCTCTCAAACGGTGAAATGAAGGTCGTCCTAAACGGGTTCTCCGCCGGCTCCTTCTCCCGTACTTCCCGTCTGTGGAACTCCCTCCCCCTTACTTTGCTTCTCCGATGGCTATAATCTAATAATCTTCAAAGTGTAATGTTAATCGTCATCTGATTTGATGAGCTTGCTACCCGTATTCTCTGTATCCATTTCTCAAATAAGCCTCTTTACTCTTGTTTTTTTTGTGTCCTATTTAAATTTTCTGCTTTTTGGCCCCCCCAAATTGTCTTGTCCCCCAAAAAAAAAAAAAAAAAAAAAAAAACCCTAAAAAAAAAAAAAAAAAAAACCAGAGCAAAACAATATATATATATATATATATATATATTTATATATATATATATATATATATATATATTTTATTTGGACTGGTATGCTATATTTATGGGATAAAGTTTTCAATATCAGAGAGATATCTTTGTTTATGCAAATATAAAAGTGAACATTAGAAGTCAACACCCCATTAGGCCAAATACCGTTTCATGCTAAAATGCAATCATCAGGCCCTTGATAAAATCAAATAAAGAAAAAGCAATATCATTGGTCCTAATCTATTAATAAAGGAATTTAACTTTCCCACCGGAAATAAGGTTGCCTCTCTGAGTCCATTCTATAAATTTTAAAAATGGTCATTGTTCGAATGAACTCTTCGCTTTATTAACTAAATTTTTTTAAAATTTAATTTTCTATTTGGCGAGATCCCATCAATTTACAGTTGAGCTGGTTAGATGTTACCGTAAGTTCTAAGCTAACAGTTTCTTGTCCAACGCCCTTCCGGTTCTATGCATTTCCAGACAACTTTAATCTGCAAAAATTTAAACGCAAAGTCAATCGCTATTTACTGTCCTCCTGATTACTCTTTTCTATTTCTGCTCACCATTAATGCTTCTGTTCCTAATTCTTCCGCACTCTGTAACCCTACTTGCGTCTTAGTGGCTGTATTGCCTTAATTGATATATACCGATTAAAAAATATCACATCTCTGCTGCAAACGGTTGACAAATACATTTATGCAATAAAAATATTTTAGCTACCACAATATTCCGTCTGATAGCCATGAATATCAATGAATCAAATGCAAAAAAAGAGACAATTTTTGCAACGATCAATAATTTTGCATATTGAATCATTGCATAGAGAACAATTACTACGTCAATTAATAATCAGGCATCATTGTTTCCTCAGCCTTTATTTAAAATATCAAATTTTGCAGTAAACACAAATTAGATATATTTTTAACGAATTGCTTTTCAAATTTTTGGACACATGCGTAACAATTTGCATACAACGAAAACTGTTATATCTAAAGCTCATTGTCGTTCTAATGTAAATAAATATATAAGTGTAATTAAAACAAACAAGTATTTAAATTTTTTAAATAATTTCCTTCTGTTGTATTGTTTTAATATAAAAAAAGATTTTGACTGAGTTTTTTTTGTCTCTTCAGAATATGTAGAAATACATGGGAAAATTTCTCTTGGAAAAACTGGATGAAAAGAGATTTTTTAAAATCTCCATTACGTCAATGTTATTAGGTAGAGTATGAAACATTTTCTTTTTAAAAGACAAGTATTTCTATTTACGCCATATCAGCTTCACAAACATCTTCCTGTTAAGTATATGTATATAACACAGAAAAATAAACACATGGACTTACTGAAAAGTTCTCACATATGAAAGGGAATCGAATCTAAATAAAAGGGATTCAAATCCAAATAATAAATGATCTGATTTTGGTCAGATTTTGGGAAGTGGGCCTGTTTGAGAACTCTTGAGTCCCAGCATCATCATCATCATCATCATCATCTCGCTTTCTCGTTCTTTTCTCTGAATCTCTCTCTTTCTAAAAATTGATATTAAATATCAAAATTGGATTGAGGAATCTGGATGAGCCGAAGTTCGAATTCAGTATATAATAATTTTACAATTCACTTACGTGCTAATACCCTTGGGAATTATTGGGAATCCTCTTCTTCTCCATCCAGCTATGGGTAATAAAAAGGATAGACTGGGTTCTATAGCCTTGGATGGCAACTGGTCTAGGAGATCAACAACTCTGAATTCAAAACCTGTTTAAAAATCTCGTTTGAGGGACCCTGTGGCACGTAGTGCACCAGGTTCATCTGTAAAAATACCCTTCAAAAAAAGTGGATGGTTCTGCATGAAACCTTCACCAATATAATCAAATCTCATGTGCTGTTGTCGGACTGTCGGTTTCAATAAACTGATAGTTTTGACCCTCATACTTTGTCGATGAAAGAGTATAGAATATATATATATATATATATATATAAAGTTTCAAATTAAAAATAATTTCATTTTTATTTTATGAAAGTATTTAATATATATATATATATATATATATATATATATATATATATAATTATTTATTTAAAAATATGATTCCAACTCGCGACATAAGAGGTCTCATGTTTCAAAACAAGAGCCGAAAACTTCAATATAATTATTTGAATTAAATTGAGTTAAAATAAGCTCTGTTCCATCTTCAAGCGAAATTTTTTTTGGAATAACGTATTTCTGAAATTTACGTGTTTTAATAATTGAAATCAAAATTTCCATGGTAACAGCTAGGGCGAATTGTTTAAATTGGGTAGGCGTGTGTTGGGTGTTAATAATAAGTATCAGTATAGAGTTACTTTCATAGATGTCAAGTCAGGAAAGGTGGGGGTGTCTAAATTTTGAAACGGAAGATGTTTTAGCCTAGTCTGGTTTACGTGTCTATGGAGATTTATTTATTTTTTTTTTTTTTTATTTTATTTATGAAATGGATTTGTGCATATAAAAAAAAACAAAAAAAAAAACTTTTTGTAACATTTTTTTTGACGACTTTTATAAAGGGTTATCTTTTTTTTGTAGGGTATTTAAACTATTTATTTGGGCTATGGATTATAAAAAGTTATTATATTGTATGCTTGTTTTTAGCTAATTATTCAAAACAAAAATTTGATGATGTCGACAAAAAACTGTTAACTCATGTCTATTGTTTAATAGATTATTATTATTTAGAAACTTAATAATGTGCAGTTTCTCATGGAGGCACAAAGGGCATGGGTCATCCCAAGTTTTACATGTTCTAGCCTTGTTTATAATTTTCCATTTTTAAAACCCAATTTTCGCTTGAAGATGGAACAGAGTTTACTTTAACTCAATTTAATTCAAATGATTATATTGAAGTTTTCAGCTCTTGTTTTGAAACATGAGGCCTCTTATGTCGCGAGTTGGAATCATATTTTTAAATAAATAATTATATTTATGCTCTACTTTTGTATCGAGCACTATTTTTTAAAAATAATAACAAAAAAATACTAAAGAACTTTGGATTATTTACCTAACCAGTTCTTTCCTATTTTCTATATATTTATATACACATATATATATATATATATATATATATATATGAGATTTACATTTAAATAATGAAATTTGAAGGTAAAATACAACAAAAAAAATAATATTGGACTTCAGTCTTTATATTTATTATACATTAGATTTTTGACTAACTTGAAGTGAAAGGTTTGAAAATTTGAATTTTCGGACACGCTTGTCTCCTTTTTCAACGAGACGAACCACAAAGAAACAAGTGGGATTAACTCTTCCAATGAATGTTGTTGTTGATTTCAGGGCTCCCAGAGGAAACTATATTTTCTGAGTAAACACAAATCGTTGTTTAATCATTTAGTGTATGATTTTATTACATTTGAAAATATATTTTAACTGGAATTTGAGTCATTCTTGTCGCTTCTAAAATGAAAATGTTAAAAGCATGTATCTGATGTCATCAATGCTATGAGATGGTTGGTTGAGGTGTGCAGCGACAGATCAAATTGTTGCTGTTTTCTTTGCTGTTTCTTTTTTTATGGTTATTGGACCGAAGATGGAATTTTGTGCCTGTTTAAACGGTCTATTAAATCTACATATTATAAGACCATCTTTTGTTTAATTTTTTTTATCTATCTATCTATCTATCTATCTATCTAAATTATATCTTTATCTATCTATTATTTAATTTTTAGATTATTTTAAAATAAAATTCATGTTTGTTTAATAATATTGACAAATTCTGAGAAATCTTTTTAAATTATTTTTTCAAATTACCGAATAATTTCTTCTATGTTACCGGTAAGTTTGTCAAATTTGAAAAATTTAATAAAAATTGATAAACGGAACTTTTTTGACTCAATCTTTTAAACTTTAAAACGATCGTTTATTTATGTTTAAATCCAATCTAAGTTTTCGGCTTACATATGCCATTATATACGAGTTTGTCCTTTGAAATTTTTCATACAGCAAGGGCGGACAATCATTGTTGTTTCGTCCGTGTGTTGTTTGATTTATTGAAATTATCATCTTTGATAATGACTTAGGTAAGCCGAAAGATTAGATTGGATTTAAACATGTATCAATATGGAGTTTTCCTTTCGTCTTTCAACGATAATGTGATCAAGCTTATCAGACAATATGAAAGGAACTTACTTAAAATAAATAGACAAAAATTATTTAATGAAAACAAGCAATAAATCTATGTCATTTAATGAAACAAGCATTAATATATATATATATATATATATATATATATTAGGTTTTCCCTAGCAAACATGGAATTAGTCAAGCCCTTGAAAACCCTTACGATAAGGTGTGGCACGAAAGATTTTCTACACAAGCTCTCTAACAAAGGAATCATTGTAAGGGTCTTCACAATTACAAAATCCTTCCTAATGGGTAGATATCTGAAGATAATGGCCAGTCCCCGGAGACTATGGCGGTCAATTCAGGCGTCTAAAAGAATTTAAAAAAAATATCGAAATAAAAATATATATATATATTAATCTACCTAAGAAAATAACTCATTTGTTAACATCTATGCCGATGATACGACGATATACCTCATGCCCAGAAAAGAAAAAATATTATAGGAACTCAAAAAAATTAAATATAAAACAGAATCACAGTATCTCTGGCTAATTACATATGTATATATATATATATATATATATATATATATATATATATATATATATATATATATATATATATATATATTTAATTTTGAAATATCAACTTTCAGAGGCGACAACTGTTTTTAAAAAAGGCAAAATTTTATATTATCTATTTGTATTCATAGAGAGAGAAAGAGATAGAGTTAGAGAATTTTCTAAAATTAAATGTATTAAATATTGTTTAGATTATGATCAAATATGGATTATCCATACGGATTACCATGAATTTTCGTTATATTTAAATATATATATATATGATATATATATATTTATGTAGAAATATAATTTATATCCATTTAAATTTATATTATATATATATATATATATATAAAAAGACCGATTTTTGAAATGAATATATAATTTTTCAAATGGGATTATAATATTTATATAGTTTTTTTATTTTCGTTTCCATATATATATATATATATATATATATATATATATATATATATATATATATATTTAATAAATATATATATATATATATTTATATATATATATATATATATATATATATATATAGAAATAATTAATATTTAAATTATTGAATTATCAAAATCAGAGGATTTAAACAAACACTTTTATATAAAACAAAGATTATATTTTTTATATATTATAAATAATAAAAATCATATAGATCTTATATAATATTATGAATTGTTTAGAGAGATATATATTTTAAATAGATTATATATATTATATTAGAAACATATAGATAAAAGGTGGTTTATATGAATATGTTTAGTCAAATGGGATTATCAATCAACGGTTTTTTACCATGATTTTCGTTGCTTATATATATATATATATATATATATATATGTAGAAAAATATTTATATCCATTTAATGCTTATTTATTTATATATATATATATAGATATATATATATAAAAATGAATAGAGAAATCAAACTCAGAGGCGACAGACTTTTTTATTCTAAACACAATAGAAATATGTATAACATTAAAATTTTTCTTTAGAGAGAGATAGAGAGAAGATTTGAGAGCTCTGTCTAATATTAATATATCAATAATTCAAAGTTCTTGGGATTATATATACATATATATTGAATATATTTTTGTTATTTTACACTATAGCTATATATTTTTATATATATATATGACTAAATTATTTATTTTTCAATTTATTTTTTGTTTCTTATATATATATATATATATATAATAGATGATTAAATTATATAATTTTATATATATATTGAAATAAAATTTACACATATATTGACATCATATTTAATAAATATAAAAACGATTTTGACTGTTTTATTTTAGGCTTATTTAGATTTTATCTAAAAATTTATATTAAAAATTGTTGATATTTTACAAAGTAGATACATATAAGTTTTGGATGGGAGATATATATATATATATATATAGATAGATTTATATATAATATATATTCTATGAAGAATAAAGTCAAATATATATTATCCAAATATATACAAGTTTTAAATTAAATTATATATATATATATATATATATATATCTGATAATAAATATATTTATGAATATTGAAGTCAACACTCAGAGGCGACAGACTGTTTTAAAATATATATTTATATATATATATATAAAATGAAATTGTTAGAAGAGGAAGAGATTATATCAAATATTTTAAAAGAGAGAGAGAGTAGGATAAGAGAGAGATATTTATCTATGAATATGATAGTCAATTTGAAATCCATAAAATTTACAAGATTTTTGTTCTTATATATATATATAAATATATATATATATATATATAAATATATTTATATATATTTACAGTTTGCTTATATATATATATATATATATATATATATATATATATAAAAGTGAATATTGAAGTCAACAGTGTCAGAGGCGACAGACTGTTTTATACTAGGCAAAATCGTATATTATCAATTATGTATTCAATAGAAGAGAGAGAGAGAGAGAGAGATAAAGAAAGACCCCCTCTCTCTATGAATATGAAATAGTCAAATGGGATTATCCATACGGATTACCAAGATTTAAAAAAATATATATATATATATATATATATATATATATATAGAAAATATATTTTTATCCATTTACACTTGCTTATATATATATATATATATATATATATATATATATAAAAGTGAATATTGAAGTCAACACTCAGAGGCGACAGACTGTTTTATGCTAGGCACAATCGTATATTATCTATTATGTATTCATAGAGAGAGAGAGAGAGAGAGAGAGAGAGACCTCTCTCTCTATGAATATATAATAGTCAAATGGGATTATCCATACGGATTACCAAGATTTTCGTTACTTATATATATATATATATATATATATATATATATATATTCCAGAAAAGAGACAAAATTTTGAATCTCCCATTTTTTTTCGATATATGTGGGTTCAAATGCATGTCAGACATTTGCGTTTGTTCCTCATATATATATATATTCGAAATGTTTTTATAAATATGTTATAAAATCACTACAAAAATAGCCATTTTGTTTATTTTCCTCTGAGAAAACGAAAATGAATTTAAAATTTGAACAATTTTGGCTGGAAGTTCTAAAATTAAGCTTATATAAGTTGACGTAGAGGGTGGTGAGGAATACAGTGAGAGACATGGTCGAGTTTAGAGAGGGAAGAGAGAGTTTTAAAATTTATTTTTATTTTTATTACAATACTGGAGGTGGAGGTAAGGATCAGACATTGACCTATTTACTCGGTCAACTCAACGGAAATGATATGGGAAAAGGAAAAAAAAGGGGAAAAGGAAGAAAAAAGCGGAGAAGTAAAGGGATAAGAGATGTACGTAGGGTTTTTTGAGGAAAGAGAGGGGTGGTATAGTTTTAGCAATTTAGATAAACACAGATTTTAACGTTTGATCGTAATTTAAATATTTAAAAACTCCACAACGAAATTAAATTTAATGCTTGTTAGCAATTTAAATATTTAACTTCTCCAGAAATAAATTAGGCATTTAATATAAGCTGAATATTATATAAAGAAACAAAAATAAAAAAAATACTAATAGTAATATTTTAATATTGCGAATGACTGTTAAGGTAAAATCTTTATCAGTTAGACTTTAATTCACGAATTTTATTTGTAGCTATTTTGGGGTAATATTTCTTAATTAAAGTTTACGTTTCAAATCAAGATGGAGTAATATTCGAAGGTAATAGTCAAATGGGATTATCCATACGGATTACCAAGATTTTCGTTTTATATATATATATATATATATATATATATATATATATATATATATATATATATATATATATTATTTAGTTTTGAAAAATTTCCTTTGTCTTTTTAATGATTCACAACACTTTGGTTAAGTTGTGTAAATGCTTCGCAAAGCCTACCCATGTTATCACGTGTTACCTAAACAGCTAACATGCACACACATACACACACACACACACACACACACATACATACACACACACACACACACATATATATATATATATATATATATATATATATATATGTTTGCACGGTCAAACTTAATTGGTCCTTCGTACAACTTTTGTTCTCGCCTTTGTTAAGTTATGATGAAAAATCCTGAAGAATCAAAGAGAATAAAATATTAAAGGAAAAAGCGTAAAAGAAGCGAACAGAAGCAAAAGTCAAAAGAAAAAAAAATAATACAAATAAAGAAACACGGAGAAATTAAATGGCGGGAATAATTCCAAAAATGGCGGGGAATAAAAAAAAAACATTAAAAAATCGCGGGAAAAAAAAAGCAAAATATTATTACCGACGATAAATGAGTAATGAACGTTTCCTCTCCAAAAAGAAAGTCCACCTCCGTTCCCTGACAGCCTCTTCAGGTCTAATAGAACGTAATTGGCCCAGAAATGAGCACCGGAGAAAGGAAGTAGACGAACGATGAAAAATGTAAAGAATACTAAATTATACAAATCCAGTAGGAAAATAAAGCAATAAATAAATTAAGAAAATGGAACATTCAACAAATTAGAGA